TAATCTCAGTCGGTAATCTTTAGGCCTGCATGTCCAAAAGCCAAATGAAACTTCCATGCAGATGTCAAAAAATATTCATCCTTTAAGAAGCAGCTCTCGACTTTCTTACTGCAGTGAATACTGTCAGAGAGCCAGGTACAGAAACTCACTAGATTAGCAGTTTCAAGATGTGAGTTCTTATTTGGCCCCTCCATGAATTTTGTGCAACCCTGAACAAGACAATTTCGGAGCCTTTGGTTCAGTTTGGTTTCTATTATAAAACTAGGCAGTTAAACTAAGATGATCTTTAAGCTACCTTTAATAATAAAACTCCATGATTCTTCCCATTCTTTATCTCAGTATCACCAAGTTCTGCCCATTTTTCTTATACAAAATCTTTTATCTGCATTTTTATGTTCTATTTCCAGTCATCGTATGATGGCAGGTTTTTATGAACCAATTTCCTTACTCATCTTCTTTCCAGGATCTCCACACCCTAATTATCTTACGTCCACCATAAATCTTACATTCTTTTCTTCTACTCTTTTCTGAACCTTGTGAACAGAGCTGAGTTAATCACATTCTTTCCATTATTAGCTGTGAAAGACTGCTCTCATGTGTCTATTTTTGTTTTCCTATTCATTCTCAAGCCTCCTTATTCCCCTTCATTTTGTAGGTTCACATTAAAGTTTGAGATATCCTTGTAGATAGATAGATAGATAGATAGATAGATAGATAGATAGATATTTGTATAAATATATGTATATGCATACATGTATATGGCAACTATATATTGTTTTTTGCATGCATATGTTTCTATGCTATAAAGGCGTATCTTTTTTCTCTTTAAATACGAACCTTGTTTTTCTTAGGACTATCTATGTTGCTGTAACTACATCTTTACAAGTAAATACATGTTTCTAAATGATGCGCAGCATTCCACAGGATGCAATTTTACCTATCCATTTCCTTGGTGACAAACACCTAGGCTGCCTCCGATTTCCTACTTCTACAAATAGTTTTATTTCACATAGATAATCGCTAACTTGAAGTTAGAGTATATCATTCTCGGAAATGTTTTTATTTTATTCTTTTATAATATGCATACATAATATATAGACATTTTATTCTTTTACTAAATATGTTGATATGGATACAAATATCTAAATATGTACACATGGATATATAACTAAAAATATAGCTCCATAATCAATATACACTATTACTTAACACATTTAAAATGCATATAAATTGTATCATACTTTAATCTCCTTTTGCACATTGTTATTACACTTCGTGTTATATTTTTGACATTGATAATTGGGTGTGAAGAAGTATCACGTTATTTCTACATGCATTTTCCTGATTGCTATGACTTTTGAAATGTTTGTTCATGCCCTTTACTCAATGTTCTATGAATTTTTATGTATTATGATTGACGCTTAGTCAATATATCCTCAACACTCATGCATTGCCAGTTATCCATATTACGGATATCTTCTCACAGACTGTGGGCTGCCTTTCCACTTGATTTATATTGATTTTGTAACAGAAATTTTACATTTTAACATAGTCCAATATATCAATCTTTTCTCTTTTGGTTTACACCAAAATTCTGATTAAGAAATGACTCCCTACCAAAATGTTAAAAGAGATTTTCTGCTATTTTGAAACAAAATCTATAAGATTTTGGACATTTCAGTATTCAGTCCATAAAACCATATAAATATCAAAAGGTAAAAAGCAAAATTTTATAGATCTTTTCATATATAACAAACATTCCTAACACGATTGCCTCCCTATTGATTTATAATGCCGCCTCTATCATACTTAACTTATATATATGGTTTTTATTCTGTTCTATTCTGTCAGACTCACATTCTTATAAATAACATTGCATTTTATTCTTCCACAGAATAGTCTTGGTAATTGACACTTTATTATTTCATATGTTGGGATTATCAAGTTTCTTTCACTCAGACATACATGCACAAACTATAAGGGTTTTAATACAAATTATACCGATATTAATTTTAAAGATTTGGAAAGATTTATTCTCATCAGAGAATTCGATATTCCCACCCAAGTATAGTAGTTCCAAATTTTCATTTAATTTCTGTATATCTTCTATTTCCTTGCTGAGACTTCCCATTTCTTTGTTGGAAATACCTACTTTTTAATTTTTTTCAAGCTAGTTCATAATTACTCATTGATACAGTTTTTTATGATGGCTGTTTAAAAGTTTTTGTTAAATAATTTGAACATCTCTGTAACCCAAGTGTTGGTTCTACTGACTGGCCTTTCCATTCGAGTTGAGCTTTTCCTGATTCCTGGCACGATGAGCGATTTTTGATAGCGACCTAGACGTTTGGGGTATTATGAGACTCTGCATATTATTTAAACCAGTTTTAGCTTATTTCCTCCAGTACCTTTCCTTTGGGGTAAAGGAGGGCTGTCGTATCACTTCTAGGTGGGGGAAGAAGCCCAGGTTCCCACTATGCCTTTGCTGGCGTGGGTACAGGTGGGTCCACAGTTGTTTCTGTGGTACTTGGCTGGACTAGAGGGGCTATAGCTAAAAGTTTTTCATCATGCTAAACTGCCCCTTATCCAGTCCTTTGGCTGCAGCGAGAAGGCCTTTGGTTTTTTTGTTTTGGTTTCTTTTTTGGCTGTGGTCACTGGTGTCACCAGTTCGATGGCTTTTTCAGTTGAGATATATGAGACAAAAACCCCAAACTGAAGTCCAAAAAACCCAGGGACCCTTCCATGGTGTTATCCCTGAGGACTGGAGGTACCAAGCCAACCTGCTTTGTTCTCTCTACTTTTCAGTCTTCCTATGTTTGTTTTGTATATGATGTCCTGGGTTTTTAGTTGTACTTAGCAGGAGGAACAGGCAAAAGTACTGCTCCATCCTCCTGCTCATTGATTTAATAAAAATCCGTACTGTAATTAAAAACCTAATTAAACCTTATTTTCCTTTATTTGATAAGGTATTATTGATAATATTGCTCAGAACATGTATAAGCTCAATGTACACTCATATACTGCTTTAGCTATTTACCTGGTATCTTGCCAGATACTATAGCCAGTTAGAACATTAAGCACTTCTGCTAAATATGGTACATCTTGATACCATAAAAGTCATCTTACAAAGGGCATTAATACAGGTAGGAAGAAAAGACTGGCCATTTTAAAACCTACAACAGTTCATGTAAGTGTGAATCTGTTTCTGGCCTCTGCAATCTGTTCAGTTTGTCTATCCTTATTCTAATATGATAATCATACTTTTGCTTATACAAATCTTGATGATCTGGTATGGTAGACCCCACTCCAGCTTATTCTTCCTCTTCAGAAATGTTTTGTCTATTCTTGACCTTTTGTATATCTATATAAATTCTAGAATCAGCTTTTCAAAATCTACAAATCCTACTGGGTTTTTGATTGGAATTGTATTGAATGTAATGATCATTTTAAGCTATACACAAATATGCTTCTTGATTTCCAAAGTTATCAGAATTATCTAGATATCTTTTTGTTACTGATTTACAACTTAATAGCAATGTCATTAGAAATAGCGGTTTATGTTAAACCAATCCTTGGAAAATTAAGAATTGTTTTACTGCCCCAAATCGGTTCACTGTTTTTATAAATAATTTGTATGGATATGAAAAGAAAGTAGTTTCTGAAGTACGCTTGTTAAAACCACGATGACCTCTGTAGTGGGTTGTGTGGTGTTCTCCCAAATTCAGGTCCGCTCAGAATCTTATCTGGAAATAGTCTTTGCAGATGTAATTGAGGTGAGGAGCTCAAGATGAATCATCCTAGATTAAGGTGGGCTCTAAATCCTATTACTTGAGTTCTTTTAAGAGGAAAAGAGGGTACGTGAAGAGACACAGACAACAAGGCCATGTGAAGATGAAGGTAGGAAGAGATTAGAACTATGCTGACACAAGCCAAGGAATACTTAAAGCCACCAGCAGCTGAAGAGGCAAGGAAAGATTCTTCCCTAGAGTCTTAGTAGGGCTTAGTAGTTAGCAGAGCACAGCCCTACTGACACCTTGATTTCAAACGTCTGGCCTTCAGAACGATGGGAGAATAAATCTCTTGATTTAAGCCACAAAGTTTATGGTAATTTGTTCTGGTGGCTAGGACACTAATATAATTTCTATGTTGCTAAATTCCATGGTCAATTCTCAGAACTGATCCTACTTTATCACTTGACCATAATCACTTGACTCAGCGATCGCTCCTTCCTCCTTGACAAACCTGCTTCACTTGGTTTTCAAAACACCACATTCCCTGGCATTCACCTATCTCACTGGTCTCTTCTCAGCCTTTTTTGTCCATTCTTCCTCTTTTCCCTCTCAGAGCTCAGTCATAGGTTCTCATCTCTTTGCTATCTGCATTTCAGTCTGAAGTTATTTCTAAATGACTGCATCATAGAACAAAACTTTACATGACTATGCTTCCTAATTTTAAGAATTATGACTAAGGAATGAAAAGGGAAAAAAATTGTTTTGGTCACCTGGAGTGCTTCCTGTGAAGTCTATTAATGCAGTGATTATTGATCCACTGGACCACAGTATCTACGTTCAGCATTAAGTTGCCTGATTTTAAAACCCTTCGTTGGTGGCCTTCTCTTCCTCTTCCCTGGCTCACGTCCCCACTCGCCTGCTGATGACCCCTAGTGTTGCCTCTTTGGAACCCTTTTCACGGGGTCTGCTTACGGGGGAATCCAAAGAAAGCTGTATGTAGAAAAATGTTTTTGTAAGGGGAGTGATTGTCTTCCATAAGCACTGGTTTTACGATCATGCAACGCTCCCTCAGATGTATGTTAGAGCTGCCTCCTGACAAATAGTTTTGATTTCAGTCTCTTCCCATCCTAACAGATCATACATATAAAAAGCTATTGACAGAAGCTTAAAAGGGAGATAAAAAAAATACCCATAAAAAAATTATAACATCATCAGTTCACCTGAAGAAAAATAATTAATACTAAAATAACAATTCATTTTTGAAAATACCTAAGTTGTTTTCGGAGTTGCTCGATTTCCACATTTTGTTCAGTTACTGTTTTCACAAACTCTTGGTTAGTCTGAAAAATAACAGCAGTATTAGAACATTTAAAACTACATCTTTAAAGATTAACTATAGAGCATACATTAGTAGAAAAATAAAGTGACATAATTATTAGATTTTTTGAAGGTGAAATATAACCCTGGCCATTTTTCCTCGCCCTTACCGGTTCAGTGGACATCTGCTTCACTGCAAAACATCTGCAGCTGCACTTCTGTGTCTTATGGCTTCCTCCAGCCATCTGAGCCTCCTTCACTCACTATCTGTGAAAAAGGCTACAGGTATTGTAGAACTCATGTCCCCAGTCTGCTCTGGAAGAGCCTGATAACAAGGACTGAAGGGAATTATTGTGAAAATACCCCAAACTCTCACGTCTCATGGTGGAATAACTCTGAGCCTTGGGTTCTAAACTGGCTTCCAGAGTTCATTAGTGGGTTTGATTTGCAGTTACCCACAGTGTTAATTTGCTCAATTATTAAACGCCCTTTATGGCTGCTTTCTCTTCTCTCCTCTACTGCTGCTCCCTTTCCTCAGGGTCTGTTTATGAAGGAAACTAAAGTAAGATATGGAGCAGTCGTCCAAGTGTACAAAATTCTTCTAAGGGAATCGATCTTCCACAAATGCTGGTTTTACTACGGTGGTACCAATTTTTTATCTTTTTCTATGTGCCTTATATGCAAAATCACACAGATTATAGTTACTTTATAACTTACTGTCTTGATTTCAGACCCCTCCCATCCCAAAAGATAACACATTCATCTCTCTAATTAAAGTCCTGGAGGTAATTTTCACTGTGCTTCTTTCATACTCTACCTAGTTTCATTGACTTCATATTTTTAATACTCAATTATATTCACTCTGCTTGGGATGTCCTCATTCTGCTGGTATTCTTCCCTCCACACCCTGTGTGGTCCACTTACTCTATGGCAGAATTAACTGTTTCCTTTTGCATTTTGATAAAACTTTATATGTACTTTTACAATGAACGTTGCATTACATTTAAATATTATAAAGTTTATGTATTTCTGGCTACAATATGAGCCTTTTTTTGAGGACCAGCTTCCCAGAACTCCCAGTGGCTAACATATAATGTAGTACATTCTAAGTACTTAAACCTTTGAGGAATAAATGAATGATTGTCTTTATGATGTGAAAGAAAGCCTCCGGATTGTATCATTATTTTTATCTTGAGAAGCAGACTACTGCAGACCAGAATTTAGTATTCAATTCATAGACCACAATTTAAGAGACCAACTATTGCATGCAGAGAGAGAAGGATAGAATAATAAGTAGGTAAATCATACCATACCAGAAAAGTTAAATAAGAAAAAAAACAATAAAAACTGGGTGTACGTTGGTTATAAATTAGGAAAGACATAATGCTTATATGCTGACTTGAAGAAGTGAGCTTGTTCTATATTACTCCAAAAGATAATATAAATCTGGGAGGAAATCTGATGAGAGATTTTTAGCTTTACAATAATCAGAGTTCAAAGGGAAAGGCTGTTAGGGGAAATGGTAATATCTCTTATAGGGGATATTCAAAGCACAGGCTAGATGATCACCTAACTGAGACGCATTTCATAGAAGGATGTTTGTAACATTTGGGGAAGTATATGACCTTTAATATCATTTCAAATTCTCCTGTGAAGCTATCTCAACGACTTCAGCCCAAACTGATTCATGTTTCTGAATTCCTCTATAATGTCTGCAACGCACAATTAACGTTTTATTATATATACTGTCCTGGTACTAGCACAATTAATGTTTCTTTTTTTTTACTATTTGGGAGCATCTTAAACACGAGTGAGGTAGAATAATTAGTAGAAGTATAAATTGGAATTGTGAATTTTAAGAAGCTAGTGTTGGGAACTAACACACTTAGGCTGGTAGCAATCCCAGCAGGAGCTCAACAACTGCATCTCAATATGGCCCAGTTGGTCTGTACTTGTGATCAGATGCAGATTTGGAAGATGCACAAAACCTGGCGATTCATAAAGGCCCAAGTGCGCATCCCTTTCATTCATCATCTGCTTTAGCACCTTATCTATGGCTTATTTCACAGTCATTTCTGTTTCACCAAGTAGATCAGGACTTTGGGGACAGAGCCGTTTTCTCTTGCACAGCTAGAGAACCATCAACAGTGCAAGGAACTCAGTATGCAATTAACACACAATTTTGAGTAATTTTATAAAGAGCAAGTCTCACAAAAAATGACTTCAGTAAAGAGAATCACTAGGAAACATGAACTCTCATTACATCTATAGTAGTAATAAATACATATGAACTTGTACTTTTATGTATGATTCACGTCGGCATTTTACCTGCTACATATTACTAATGTGCATTGGTCATGAAAGATATTTCATTTACTTCTTTCATACTCATCAATTTATTGCACATCTACAGGAACCTATTCATTTAATGAGTTTATCCATGCAATCAGAAAACTTTTAGATGAAAACTGCTTGGTTTTTATTTAATTTATTTTAATTTTTCAATTACACTTGACATTCAATATTATTTCATATTAATTTCAGGTGTACAGCATAGTGGTTAAGCATTCGCATAATTTCGAAGGGATCCTCCTGATAAGCCTAGTGCCTGGATGGCACTATACATAGTTATCACAATATCATTGACTATATTCCTTATGCTGTACTTTGCATCCCCGTGACTATTTTGCAACTGCTTGATTTTTAGAGGTCACTTTTCCTCATGTTGATTTTGACTGAAATTTGTCCTGTGACTATGCTCTGAATGCTCTGAATGCTCTTTGATACGAGATAATTACAATTACTTAGCCTCCCTTTACGCTTAGCAGACTTGTTTGATACTCAATACATACTTAAAAAAAAACTCTTACACTTTAAAATTTCTCTTAACCATTTTCCTTTATTTTAACCACAAGTATAGTCTGTTGTTTGTTCTTAATAAAACAATTCTCTTTTGTCTATTTTCTCTTTTATCATTTTTATTGCATCCATGATTTATTATTCTTAGTTTTGGCTAAAACTACAAATTTTGTACCTTAAAATACTTTAATGTATTTCCTGTAAATATTCAAATATTCTTTTCCTATGACTTTCATCACAATGATTTTGGGTTGTTTATAATAAAATAGGGGCTCTGTGGTATAATATACCAAAGGACTATATAATCTCCATAATTCTAGAGAATATACTGAAAAAAGAAGGAATAATTATGATGTTAAACTATTAATTTTATGTAGAAATAGGATTTCTTAATTATGGAACCCAGTCATTTTGCTCCAGAGCATTTTAATACTATTTTAAAACTCTAAGAAGTATAGTATAAATAATTATAAGTGATTGGAAATTCCAAATGTTAATGTAAGTAAAACAGTGAGAAATTTAATAATTTTTTATATGATTAAAGAAGAAAAATTTTAAAAGCAGAATAAAATTAGATAACTTACTTTCGATGGCATAACTTTCCACTTAGACAAAGACATTTTCATTAGATACTAAAAAGAATTAGCAGAGGAACTAAGTAAAATAAAGAGAGGAATAAGAGTAATTACCTGGGATGTCATAATCCTATTACTCAACAATGAGGTAAAATAAAATTCCAGGAAGAGAAAGGAAAGGAAAGGAGAAAGAAAAAAAAGCCAAAAGAGATGAAAGAAGAGGAAAAAATGGTAAAGAGCAGAATTGGGGGGTGGGAGGAGGCTAATTATATTTGTTTTAAGAAAAAAATCATAAAATATTTACATGTACCAGTTAGTACTGGTGGTCAGTCAACTAACAAATGGTTCTTAGCATCCTTTTTTTTTATAGAATTGGGCTTGTCATTGATTTAACAGTTTAGCTACTCTTATTATATACCTAGCAGTGTGCTAGATGAACTGCATAGAACAAAGCATGAATCCTACTCTTGAGGAGGTCGCAGTCTAGATTACTCTCAGGAGATCATATTGAGGACCCTAAGAGTATTTTCTGATTAGAATATATTTCAGATAGTTAGCTTTGAACTCCAGAAAGTACTATGAAACCACTGCATTATTGTGAAAGAAAAAGACAAAGAGAAAAGAGTCCTGCTTATCTATTTTACTTTCATGCAACAAGGTTTTTGTTGTTGTTGTTGATTTACATTAGCATAAATATTATTTACAGTGACAATTTCTAGCTTACATAAACAAGGACAGTACATGAATATTTTCACTTACCATTTCCATGTTCTCATTAGTAACATGAAGTTGCTTGGTGAGTTGCTGAAAACTGGTCAGCTGATCCTATAGTAGAAAAGTAGGAGGGTACATAAAAAACATTTGGTTTGTAACTCTTACTTAAAATTAAACTAAAATCAAGTCTAAAATCATTATGTCTAACTCTAAATGAAATCAGTTGTATTTCTTTTATTATTGTGTGAATTAATAGTTGAAGAAGTGATAATTTTTAAAAAGTATTTACAAAATTAAATAAGGTAGCAATATGGAAACTAATGTAGCTATTTCTCTTTTATGCAAAGGCATTTATGCAAAGGAATTCAATCCATTAGTAAATAGACATGCTAGATAAACCTTGTCCAATATTGGAAAACCATATTCAAAACTATTCAAAATCTATAATACAAACCATGGCATACTTTTTAAAATTCTCACAACTTGAGTGCCCCACAAGGTTTAAACCGTTTGATTATCTTTTATGATCTTATTAAACATTACATGTGTAGGTGACACATAGTTGGGAGGTGCTATTTACTATGTCAGAGGACAGAATTAAAGATTGATAGATAACTGGGGAAATAAGAACGAAGTATTATTTCTAAAGTCTTGTACAGAATAAAAACAAAAACAACTTAAAACTACAACACAAAAGTAATTTTATTCAGGTAAAAAAAAAAAGAAAACCTAACAGCTTAGCTGACTGACCTAAATGAGGAAACAACCTTAAAGAACTTACTTATATTCGAGATGGTTTCCCAATTTCAGAAGTAAGGCTTATAGATCAGAGCACATGGGATATTTTCAAACCAGGCATACAGAAAAAAATTACTTTGCAAACTGCAAAGCATCATGGAGGTATTATTATTATGACTTCTTTAGATAGAAATTCCCAATTATAATGAAAATAATAGGAACAGCGATGAACTGAAATTTGAAAAGTCTATAAATGAGAGTCGAAGAGAGGCATGACGATCAGTTTAAACAGGTGCTTTCTCAAAATCCACAGAATAACCAACAGAACTGAATTTCTCTAGTTTTTTTTTTTTTCCCGCAAAAAAAGAACAAATACAAGGATGAAGGAGACATATTTGCCAGTGGAATGGATTATCCTATGAGGTAGTGAGTTCTTGCCAACAGAAGTATAAAGCAAAGGCTAGATGTCCACATTGAAAGAATATAAAATGATGTTGCTTTGAATAGAAAGAAGTCCTTAATAATCATTAAGATCCCTCACTATGGTAAAGCTCTATTTTGATTAATTTTTGTGATACAAACTTGACATCTATTTTAGTAAAAGGTCACATTTACAGGTGTTAACATTTTCATTTGACAAAGCGTTGTCATTATATTTAGCAGGTTTCTTCATTGGCCATGATCTAATGAACAGTTTTTGTCTTTTTTAAGCCAGGATTAAATCGAGAATATAAAAGCTTTAGAGGTCTATTTACTATACGTAATAATCTTATAGCTGATTCTTAACACTAAATACAGCTTTCACTGCTAAGCACATTATAAAACCCAATGCACATTAAGATGTATTTTGATTCTCTTATCTGTTCAAGAGATTTCTAACCATTAAAGATCTATTTATTGTTAACGTAAATAACACAGAGGAGACTTAGGCATTCCTCTCCAAAACTGAGTTTCTCCAGAGTGTGATTTCTTATTGATAAACAAGAACACCACAAAATCCAAGATTACCTTTTGTTTTTGACTTTCAACTACATGAATCTGGGCCTCAGTCATATATTCCTGGTAAAGTTTCTGCACTCTGTCCAACTCCTGAGAAACAGTCTGCCAGAGTTCCACAGCCTGATTTTTTTCCTATAAAACAAAAACATTTGAGAACTCATTAAATTATTAGCAGGCTACTGCATAGTACAAATGAATCATATTCTTTTACAGAATGCATTCTTGTATATTACATAACAAAATAAAAATAGAACTTGTGTAAAGATGGCATAGTTGTAATATTTTTGATATGAAGTCATATTAATAATAATTTAAATAAACCTAAAAATGAAAATTCCTTTCTTTGAAACTTTCTTTCTATTCAGATTACATAGCTAAAATGAAAATCCTTAAATCAGAGCTATGTAGTTCAACCATTCTTGTTCCTCAACAAAGTATAAACCTTAGAAATTACTGAAAAAGAAAATTGTCCCCAGTAAAGTACAAGACTTTTTTTTTGTGATTGTAAAAGTAATAACTTTTTTTTTGTAGAAAATTAGAAAAACACAGGAATATAGAGAAGAAAGTAAGAATTACCTATAATTTTACCAACAGAGTAAATATTGCTAACATCTGTATATAATCATCATTATAAAAATTGTATATATTGGTATTTATAAATGTGATTTTGGAGCAAGAATTTTTTTTTCTTTCAATAAAATCGGGAGTCATATACTGTTTGTATAATACAAATATTTGGCATTTTATAATAAAAATCTTTTCAAGTCATTATTCTTTCAATATAGCAATTCTCAAGTATGCTGTGTAGATCCCTAAAGTCAAAATTATGGTCTTAATAATATGAATATATTATTTGCCTTTTTGATTCCCATTTTCTCATGAGTGTACGGTGGAGTTTTCCAAAGTTTCTAAGATGTGATATGTGATGCTGCAATCACTCTGACGGCTACTGAAATGCATTCGTTCTTGTGCTCCCACTTGTGTTTAAAAATGTCTCATTTTTAATTTGTAATACACAAAAATACTGATAGATATATAGCATACAAAAACAAAGAGATTTTTGGGGTCCTCAATTATTCTTAAGCATCCTGAGAATGGGTCCTGAAACCAAAAGTTGCGAAACACGAAGCTGATATGTAGAGAGCATTATTCTCTTTAGAGAAGTGAAAACTGAGGTTCAGGCCATTGGCCTAGGGTGCCTCAGTAAGTTGATGGCAGAGTCCCAAAGAAAACTTTGTGGGAAATTTTGTCTGTAGCCAGTCTGCTTTTTCCTTTTGGACTGCTCAAATTTGGACTTCATCCAATCTTCTACGAAATAACTGGTCTTAAATGTAGCAAAAAAGATCATCTTCAGATATACGAGTCCAAGCAAAATTTAGATGAAAAGGCAAAGAGAGGGGAAAGCAGGAGGGGGAAAGGGTAAGGACTAAGAGTATGGTTTTAAAAAGTATAGTAAAAACGCATGGTTTAAAAAAGAATAAGCAATTTTCAAGTTTTAACATAATTTAGCATTGAAAATTAGCACAGTACAAAAATTAGCATAAAAGTACTATGCTTTTTAGAGACAAGGTTCTTTTGCCTTATTTTGTTTTTTGAAACTACAATGTAGTGGTTTGAAAACTACAAACTACTATATATTTCTTCTGCGTAAACATATATAAATCCTTCCTGATAACACTAGTCTAGAACAGCATAAAGGACATAGTTTCCTCATTATTTTTTTCATCTATTACTTTTCAAACTCCTTCCCTTTAGAGATTAAAAAAAAAAAAAAATCAGTATTACATACATGCTCATCAAGGTAAATGCCTCATTAACCTGAAAAACCACTTCCATTAAGTAGACAATTTTAAAACCCAATTTCCAAGGAATAAAACTACATGACATTTCATAGATAACTATAAAATCAAAATTGCAACACAGAATTTTGAATCCCCATTTATAAATGAGGAAACTGAGACACACAGAAAGTACAAGAATGGGGATTCAAATCCATGTAAGATATGAGATTCCTGAGATATAAAACTATAAATTAGAATATCCTAATGTATAATCACAAAAAATTAGTGTTGAAAGTATGCCTTCCCAAATATTTCAATTACTATAAGGGAGGATAAAAGGAGAAAGGTATAATCCTAGAAGTATCATTTTAGAAAAATATCATTCTATAATCTTTGAAAACTGAAGAAAAATGGTACCAAAAGAAAACTCAGAAAATAAAATGTAAATTTAAGGAAGTTGATAACTGTTGATTTTTCTCTTTGAAAATTTCCTTTGACATTAAAATATTTTATAAGATAAAAAAAAATCATGGCAAAAGCTTTATGATTCAATTAAAATATTTATTTGACCTCTATAACAAACAGGGTATGTATTGCAAGTTTTGTTACCTCTTAACTATTCTTATAAATTGTAGAAAATCATTAAGTATTAACAATTTTGTTATTGTTATTAGTATTCATAAATAATGATTAACACAGATTTTTAAAACCTCTGTTTATTCAGGATATAATTTTAAAAATATGTCTGTCACTCACTTGATTGGCTAGCTGTAATTGCTCCTGAAGATTCCTGACTGTTTCATCATCTGCATATATATCATTTCCCATCTCTGTGCCAAGGGGAAGGGCCTCCAGTTGTTTTTCAACAGCATCTTTTAAATCACTATGCAACCTTTGGAATAAACAGTTAACACAGCAACAATCTAAATTCATTTTCGTAACAGTAATTAATGTTTAAGTGTTAATTAAATAAACATTTGGGTCAAAAATCATTATTTACGTAAAAAATTATTTTTAAGCAGAACTCAAAAGTTAGTTTTTAATCATCATTAAATAATGTGTGATAAGAATAAAAATATTAGCTAACAATTTCTAATGCATTAAATTGTCATAATTAATTCTAGTAGAATTCAGTTTGTCCTAGGGAGATTTTAATTTTTCAGAAAGGTGAAATTCATACATCTTATTAATTGATAAAACAAGATGTTCAGGAAAAAGTTTTAAAGGTGATAGTGGTTTCATCTGGTCAATTAAATGGAAATGGGATATTTAATCTCATAGAATTATTTGCTATTTTCTTCATTGTTTCACAAAACTCATTTGACTTCTTACTAGTCTGTTAATAAACAGAATAAACTGTTGCTAGTTATGGAATCAAGACTACTAGAGGTTTATTCTTCAGCACATTCTTACATAAGCTAGATCCTAACTCTGAAACCCATAAATTCAAATTCAAATTAACAGTAAACTAAATTGCAGATATTTCATGCTTTAAAATAACTCAAAGGAAAAACACAGGAAGGTACAACTTAAAAGTGATTTATTTAAAAATGATAAAAATGAGGAAAAAAGTTTTATAACATCTTAAAAGCTTGAAAACAATTCATGTAGTTATATTAGTTGGAAATATTATTTACAATGAAGACATAAATAATAAAACTAAAAACTAAATGATATAGTGTTATGGATACATATACCTATAAAAAAGTTTAAAAGCAAGAAAATGACAAAAAATTCAAGGCAGTGTTAATCTCTTGCGAAAGGACAGAGAGATAGGATGGGGAAGGAACATAGGCTAGAGGTACCAATTTTGGTAACACAGTAGCTCTAAAGCTGGATGGCTGCTTGACAAGTTTTGTTTCATCAGTATGTTTCATAAAATACATATTATACATTATACTATTAATAATCACTAACACTTATAAGGTGCTTATAATGCACCCTATCTCAACCACTTTACCCTTTAAAGTCAGCTCTATGAAATAGGCTCTGTTATTATCTCCAACTTATATATGAGGAAATGACAGCACAAAGAGGTTAAGTAACTTGCCCAAGGTCACTTAGCTAGTAAGTAATGGAGCCAAGAGTTACACTGGAAATCAGGCCCCAGAGCCCACACTCACAACCAGTATACTATATAAACAAAATATTGAATAACAATAATAAAATTTATCTAAGACAATAATAAAATAAAAGGCCAATAGTTAACTGATCTACCTTTCATTTTCCTTGATGACGTTTTCCAGTTGTAGTTTCATCTCACCCATCTGTTTCTAAAAGAATAAAATATGGTTGTAGCTATACGTTTTCCAGACAATTAAACTTGGTAAGTTGTCCATTCATATGCAATCATATTCTACAACACTAGTCTACAGATAAGCAATAATTATTATGTATTCCTAACAAGCAATATTAAATATGGATATTTTAATAATACACAGAACATAAGAAAGCATTCATTTTAAACAGAATATATATAAAAGTTATTTTATATAACATATTAAGGAATATTTATAAATGTAATTCCTATAATTCACAGATGTTTATAGAAAAACAGATGAAAGATATTCCTTACGATGTCACTGTAACAAATATCAGATGATCCCTATACCTTGAATGTATATTTTAATTAATTCATCTTGTATTTCAAACACTAAAACGTTAATGGTAAAAAAGCAAGAGTAAAACATATACTGTAAAGGGAATGAAATGAAGGTATGAATAATTCTCTGTGAGGGGATAAAGGGATTATAGAATTTCAATAGGAAAGGAAGAACATTTTAAGTAGGGAGAAATATGTAACAGCAAAGAAACAAAAAAATATTAGATAAGACAGCATGGTAGTAAGCTCTCAAAAAGTGACTGGGAAAGTGGAGAGCAGGAAGGAGGGAATATAAAAGCATAGCTAAAATGTCTTGACTGGGTGCCCCAGGCTGAAGGAGAGGGGCCAGGAGGGATCTGGCAAGGGAAGAAAGGAAAGGTAATGCTCTGAGCCTTTCTCTCTCACTTCCTTCCAGAGAAGCTCAAGGCAGCTCGGCCTTGGAAACCAGTAACAGCTAATTCTACCTAGAAAGGTGAACCTTTCACAGGACCCCATTGTGCCTGAATCACTATTAAACCAAAACAAACAAATTCACTGTCGGATAACTGAGAACTGACCATACATGGAGTGATGGCAGAGAGAGATGAAATGGAAAAGACAGGTGGCGGGTCTTGAATGCTATGCTAAGAGGTTTGAATTTTATTGTAGCAATATCCCCATTTGTAATTTTTAAAAAGTGATCTTTAAAAGTTGCAAAAATGTCAGTGTATCTTGAAAAGTATTTATTACTTTCATATAATTAGGTAAGATTACAGACGCATCAGCAAGAATTAATGGTGGATCATTATAGTCATATTAAAGATTTTTTGGTGTAAAAAATTTCAGAATATTTAGCAGTTGGAGAGAAACAAAATCTCAGCCGTACCTCTCGTACCATAAATTCCCCCCTATTATTTACATTTTCTGGAAGAAAATCTTCCATAGAGAATTATAGTTATACTTTTCTTGCTTTCAAGATATACTATTCTTTGACTGAGTCAGTAAGATAAATCATAAGAACTAGTTCTAATCAATAATATCTATATGAGCAACTTTTCTTAGAAGTTGTTATCAGCATTTTTTTCTCTCTAAAGTAGCAACTATTCTTATCATAGACCCTTGGGCTTTCTGCTTCTTCTCTCTTGTCATTAATTCTGTAATCACTCTTAGATAGAGAATGCCAAATGGAAAAACGAAGTTAAACTCCTTAGTAAAACAGCTAATTAAAGAGATCATATGAATCAGATAGATTATAAAAAATTAAAAATTGAAAAGTTTAATTTTAAGATAACTAGCTATTCCATTTTATAACAATCAAAACCACATAATATGCCATTATAGCAATTCCAAGATAGCGAATGCAGCAGAAACTTTAAATTCAGTAGTCCTAAAAAATAAAAGCAAAATGCCATTTGTGCAAAAAGAGAGCTATCTGTTGCTACTATCAATTAGAAAGATTAAAAGACATTACTGTGGTTGGCTTAAACCTACAATGACCACAAGCTAAAAAGCACACAGTAAAGACTAGGAAAACACTTAATTTGTGATAAAACAGAAACTGCAATTTAACGAAATGCTTGTTTTTGAAATCTGGGCCTACAAAATGACTTTATATGTTTATATGTTAGAGGATTAACCTTGACATGAAAGTATAAATAATTTCAAGTGCAATGAAGAACTTTATTTTTAGAAGATATAAGCTTTATATGTTCTTTTAGTAAAGCTACATATATCCAACCATTAATTTATAAATAGGAGATTGTTATGCTAGATCTAATCATTTTGTCCAACAAACCCTGACATTTATTCATTCATCAAAAATTGAGAGCGTACTAGGTGCTAGACTTCAAAGCATATGGTAGAATCTCTCGCTGTCCATGCATTAAGAGAAAGAAAGTAAAAGATATATAAAGTCTCAGTGTCTGCCATATCCACAGCCCCATTCTGAGGAAATCGGTTTCAAGTATTGTTTTTATATTATGTTATACTTTCTTCAATTTGCATTAAATTAAGTCAACCCTCCAACCTTGTCACAACTGAATTGGTCCAGGGATTGATATCTGAGACAAACACAAAAATGAGAATATTCAAACTCTAAGAAAGAGGCCATCGATGACCTTCTGGTGGGCTTAGCTTGAGATACATAGCATCTAATTAAGAAATGCATTGATTGTATGGTTATCCAATAATCAGAAAGGTCAAAATTTGAGGGGAAATGTAAAAAACATTTTCAAGTCAAAGAAATATTATAAATATTATGTATATGCTAAAAATGTAGCTCATTGAAATTTGGATTTTATCCCATACTATGATGTACTATTATTCTAGTTCTCCACGAGCCTAATCTTAGAAATTCTAGGACTTACAATGACAAGCTGTCTATATAGACAGCTTCCACGGTTTCTTTACTCCCTTCGTCCTAAAATAAATCCTAAACACTAAAAGGTTTCAGAAAAAAGCTGCCACAGCTTAAGCCCATATTAGAAGTGAATCAATAGTTTCAAAAATCTTATAGATGTAATGATTGAAACTGGGGGAAAAAATCTATTCTCCAATGATGGGAGACAGGTAAAATATGGGTAAAGACAAAGGTCTAATAGGATATGAGATGGTTCTGGGTCTTCCTATAGGAAAAATAGAGATGTAAGCAAATGACAGATTAAGAGATGCTTCTGAACATCTAAGAGATGCTCCTGACAGACAGCAAGAGCAAGGAAAAGCTGGATTAAAAAACAAAACTGAAAATAATCCTTGCACTCACATATGCGCACATGCACACACATAGAGACAGAGATCTAAACATTTCTTCCTCATCAACTTTTTTTGGAAAAAAGGAAGTCTATTTTACTTTTTCTCTTTTTTTTTATAATAAAATACTACGAAAAGCTTGGTAACTATGATTTCGTACCTGATAATATTTCAGCTGACCATTTAGATCTTCCAGATGCTTATCATACTCAGTAATAAGAGGTGCTAAAAAACTAAAGAAAAAATTAAAAATTAAAAATATGGCACATTCTATTTAATCTATCTTAATAAATACATAACATGTGAAATAAACTGTACATTTTTATTCTTTATAATTTTACCCACAGCAATTAATACTTTGCCTTTTTCCTAAACCAGGGGTTCTCCACCTTAGCTCAATTAATATTGTGTGCTAAACAATTTTTTTGTTGTGGAGGGCTGAGCTGTACACTGTAGGGTATTTAGCAGCATCTCTGGCTTCCCCCCATTAGATGCCAGTAGCACCTTCCACAGCTGTGACAAGCAGAAATGCTTCCAGACACCACCGTCAAATACCTGGGGAAGGGAAGGGGGCTAACACGCCCCAGTCAGAACCTTTCTTATAGACTACAATACTGGCTTTTTTCCCTTATCAATTCAATGACATGTCATTTAAACCTAATAACTATACAGCAGACCATCAAATAAACATTCCTAATATTAAAGGGATTATTGCAATAATAATTAAATACAACAATATTTTTCTGGTTACCTTTGGTCAATTACTGAGTCGCCTAATATGTCATCTCCATCTTCTTTGAAGACAGCTTTCTATAACAGAGAATATTGCCTCTTAAAATGATTTCTCACATCAATTTAGCAAAAGCAGACAGTAGTTAAAAATTAAATACAATTAAAAATGTTATAATCTTTGAAAATCTATTAATGCAATTAAAAAGGAGAGAAAGAAAAAAATAATCATCCCAATTGATGTTGAAAATGTACTTGGTAAATTTTAACACCCATACATGATAAAAATTCTTGGCAAATTAGAAATAGAAATAGGAAGAACTTTCTCAATTTGATAAATATCTACCAGAAACCTACATCAATTACTATTCTTCACAGTGAAACATCAGAAACACTACATTAAATTCAGTAATAGTACAGGGCTACTCATTATCATGGCTGAAATTCAACAGTACTTGAGGTCCTAGTAAATGCAATCTGCTGTGGGAACAGGGGGTCGGAGATTTAAAGCTTGAAATAAAAAGATACAATACTATTATTATTATTTACAGACAATTTGACCATTTACCTAGAAAACTCTCTATATAATCTACCAATTATTCTGACTAATAAGACTATACTAAATCACCAGAAAGATCAATATAAAAAAGTAGCTTTCCAAAATGCCAGCAATAATTCAAAAATATAATAGAAAAACAATGCCCTTTTCCATTACTATAAGAAAAGGTAGTACTTGAGAATAAAACAAATAAAAAATCTGCAATAACTCTATTGAAAAAATTACTGAAGGATATAAAAGAAGAGCTAAATAAATGGAGAACCATAACATATTGATGGATGTGTGGAATCGTCAATATTGTAGGTATATCAATTCTCTAAAATTCATTGAAACTGCAATGTAATTTTAAAAAATCCAACAAAATAATCTACAAAATTTGATCTTGAACAGATCTTTAAGTTCCTACAAATGAGTAAGTGTGAAAAAATAGTCAAGATAATCTGGCAAAAAAGGAGGGGAAGAGGGAAGGACTTGCCTTACTACATATCAAAACACTAAATGCTAGAGTAATTAAAACAGTATGGTACAGACACACAAACTGAACACTACAAAAAATCAAGAAATAGATTCAAGCATTTGTAAGTATGTGATATATGAAAGAAGTAGAATTGTAATTGAAAGGACAAAATAATGCTTTTCAACTAAAAATGTTATCAAAATAAGATTAGATTCCAACATATATTTAATGGGAAAATAAGTTTCAGAGAGACTAAAGATCCAAATGTTTTAAAAAATATTTGATAGTTACTGAAAGAAACTGACACTTTGGGATAGAGAAAGCTTTCTTAAGTTCCAAAAATGAAGAGGCTTTGGTCTGGGTTTTTTTTTTTTTCCCCCTACCAATATCCCAAACAGTGCCTGGCATACTTTCACTCAAAATACATTTTCTAGCTGGGAGACACCAGAAATAACACTTACAAGGACTAACATATTTTACAACATCTAAATTTAAAACTTCTATACAGCCAAAGGTACCATAGGCTAAAAGGCCAACAACATTTGTAGCATGACCAAAAATTTAATATCTAGCATAAAGCATAGAGAATATTCAAACACGAGATATACACGGAAGTTCGATGAAGCTTTCGCTGTAAAAAAAGAAAAAGAAAAAAAGAAAAAGGTTTATCCATAGAGTAAATAAAAAATAATACAACAAGATCCAGTAAGTGGTTCAAGGAATTAACAATATTTATAAAAGCATCGACATGGACATATCACAAAAACAAAGAGGTTAGTTAGTTCTATGCGTGGAGGAAAAGGAATAGAACAGAGGGGAAGAGTGAGGGGTTCAAAGAGATTTTTAAGTGCATCTGTAATATTCCGGTTTTTTAAAAGGAAAGGTATTTATGATCACATAAACAGTAAAAAAAGAGAACACAAGATACAACTCCAAGAATCCTCTGAATTCTAAAGTTTTACTTAATTTTCAAAACCGTAACTCTGAAAACACTTATTTACTATATGCCAGTGTCCTGAGGCACAGTAGGTAATACAAAGGTGAACAACTGATGCTCCTTACCCATAAGAGATGCAGAGTTGTAAGAGGAAGAAGCAAATAAACAAGAAACAATAAGAATAAAGACATACTATGTAAGAGGCACAGAATGGTGAGATGAGAGGAAAGTTAACTCTTTTATTCAAGTACTACATACATACATAATTATAGAAAAGTGCACAAACCATAAGTGCACAAACTATACTACTAAATTTTCACAAAATGAATATACCAGTGCAATCACAAGTTGGATCAAGAAACAATATATGCTGTCTTTACATTTGCACAGGAGGTACTAAGTTAACAGAAATATGTGCATATTGGTACCACTGACTTAATTTTGCATTTCATTTCTATGGAAACATCAAATCAAAGCAAACACATCGTTCTGACATGCAGAACTTTCAGTTAATTTAGTGTCATGCGAAGTGAGAACTGCCTATATGACCAGCAACGCCAGAACCCCCAACTGCCCTCTTCCAGTCACTGTGCCCCAATTCTCCAAGTGCAACTAATATTCTGACTTCTAACAATGGGGATTAGTTGGCCTGTTTTTTAAAGTTTATAAAAATGTAATAATTCAGTATGGTTTCCATTATGTCTGAATTCTTTTGTTCAAATTGGGTTTATAAGATTAATTCTTGTTGCGAGTGATTTTGGTTTGTTCATTCTAATTGCCAAACACTATTTCATTCTATGAACATTTCACAATATAAGTATGCCTTCTACTACTGTTAAATGAACTTTCTTTTGGCATACGCATTTCTGATGGGTACACCTAGAAAGGAACTGATGATTCATAGGGTCTGTATCAGTCAGTTCTAATAATGGTTGTACCAATTTACTCTCCCACAAGCAGTACAAGAGAGTTGTCCCACATCCTTGCCAACGCTTGGATTTATGCCTTTCACTTTAGTCGTTGGGTGTGTAGTAGTATCTCACTATAGTTTTAATTTGCACTTATCTGGAAACAATGAAGGTGGATGCTTTTCACAATTTTTTTTTTTTTTAGGCGAGGCAACCCTTGGTTGACCTCACAGATTACAAAGACCTTGTCAGCTTACAATCCCTTATTTTTTTATTTTTTACACCTGTAGCACCTGGTCTTCCTAGGTGGTCTCCCATCCAAGTACTAATCAGGCCCGACCCTGCTTAACTTCCAAGATCAGGCTTTTCACAAATTTATTGACTACTGTGAAGCACCTGTTTAAGTCTTTTGCCTGTTTTCTTGAGTATTTTTTGATATTGATTTAAAGCTATTCTTTACATAGTCTAACATGAATTTTTACCAGATTGCAAATATATTCTCCCATTCATAGCTTGCTTTAACTTTCTTAATGGTGTCTTTTAACAAATATAAATTCTTTTATTTTGATTTAGTCCAGTTTGTCAGTCATTTACTTTATATGATTACTGTTTTTTTGTGTCCTGTTGAATACAACATGCCTACTACAGACTTGTTCCCCTAAGCTTCCTTCTAAAAGTTTTATTATTTTACCTTACCTATTTAGATACACAATCAATCCAGAAGTGATATTTGAGAATATTATGGATAGGGATCAAGATTAATCTTTTTTCTAAATGGAAATCTGACATGTGTAAAGCTATTTCTTTACTCTGTTCAATTGGTTTACTTCTCTATCCTTAGTCAAAGCATATGTCTTGATTATTAGAGCTTTACAGTAAATCTTGACATCTGCTAGTATCTGTTCTCCAGCTTTGTTATTCTTAGGATTGCCTTAGCTTTTCTTGGCCTCATGCATATAAATTTTGGAAACAGCTTGTCAAGTTTCAAGAAAAAAAGTCCTACTGGCATTTTGATTGGGATTTTGTTGAATCCAATTAATAAGCCTTACAATCTATGAATATAGTATATTTATTTTCTTCTTCCTTAATTTTTATCAATATTTTATAATTTTGAAGTCTTATACTCTTAGTATTAGAATTATTCCTAAATATTTAATGTTTTTTCATGCTATTCTAAGTAGTACCACTATTTAAATCTCATTGTCAATTGGATTGTTGCTATTTATACAAATAAAATTAAATCTGCTATTTGGCCTTGTATCCAAAGACACTGCTAAATTCATTTATCGTCCGACAATTTAAAGATTTTTGGATTTTCTGTATACACACTTATTTTTTACAAATAACAACAGTGTTATTTATCCTTTCCAGTTTTTATGTATTTATTCATATTGCTCATGCTTCAATACGATGCTGAATAAAAGTGATTTTAGCATGCCCCACTCATTCTCAGTGGGGAAACTTTCAACCTTTCACCATCAAGTACAGTTCACGTCTAGTTTTTTTATAGCTAACCTATCAAATTGAGGAAGTTACTTTTATTCCTAGTTTGCTGAAATTTTTTATCATAACAGGGAGTTGAATTTTATCGATGATTTTCTGGATCTCTTGAGATAGGTGTATAATGTTCTTCTTTTTTTCCTGCCTTTTTGGTGATTTACATTGACTTATTTTTAAATGTTAAACCATCTTTGTATCACCGGAATAAATCCCCACTTGGTGATGCGGCATTATCTTTTTAGTATATTTGGTTTGCTAATTATAGTGTGGGCTTTTTGAATGTAAGTTCATGGGTAAGATTGTCATAATTATCCTAAGTCTATTGCAAACTTTGGTATCAAGGCTATGCTGGCCTCATAAAAGTAGTCAAGAAAGGATTCCTTTTTTTCTATCTCTGAAGAGAGATGTAAGATTGGTTTCATTTCTTCTTTTATATGTTTGAAAAAGTTCACTAGGAAATCCTCTAGACCTAAAGTTTTCTTGGTAGGAAGGTTGTTAATATCGAATTCAATTTTTTTAATAGATGAAAGACTTGCTTCTTGTATCAGTCTTACTAAGTTTTGCTTTTCAAGGCACTTTGTCTAATTCATCTAAATTGTCAAAGTAATTAGTATAAAGTTATTCAATATCCTTTTATAATTATTTTGCAAGGTATGCAGAATCTAAATGATGGAAAATTTTTCATCTGATCCTCATAATTTGAGTTTTCTCTCTTTGTTTTATCTTGGTCTACCTTGGTGGAGGTATATGTATTTTACTGATCTTTTAAAACAAGCAATTTTTAAAACTTTTTTCCCCCTCTAATCTTATGTTTATTTTCTTATTTCATTGTTTCCTACCTCTTTCTTTCTTATTTCTTTCTTTGGTTTTAATTTGCTCTGCTTTTTCAATCTGTTCCGTTTTCAAAAGCATATAATTAAGTCTACAAAATTCCCTTTGAGCACTGCTTTAGCTATAGCCTACAAGTTTCAAAATTTTTAATTAAATTTTTTATGTCGAAATAATTGCTGATTGTTGATTCGCATGTCATTATAAGAAATAACAGAGAGCTGTCATATAGCTTCTGCCCAGTCTTCCCCAAGATAACATCTTGCAAAACTACAGTAAAAAACAGTACAATATCACAGCCATGATACTGAGTCAAAACACAGAAGAGTTCCCAAACCCAGAGATTCCCCCTGCTGCCCCTTGATGGCCACACGACCTACTCCCACCCCTCCCATCTCCAAGGTTAGTACGTGTTCTCCATTTACATAATTTTGCCATGTCAAGAATTTTATTATAAATTGAGTCGATACAATATGTAGCCTTTTGCAATTGGCTTTACTTCCCACTCAGCACAATTTCTAGGATATCAGTTGAATGCCTTAATAACTGATTTCTTTGTGTGGCTGAGTTACATTGCATGGTAAGTACGCAACAACAGTTTGTTTAAGCAGTCACCCACTGAAGGACATCTGGGTTGTTTCCAATTTGGGACTAGTATGAACAAAGCTGCTATAAATATTTGTGTACACATTTTTGTTTGAACATAAACTCATTTATATTTTCATAACTTAAATGAACATAAGTTCATTTAAGTTGTCATTTCTCTATGATAAATGCTCAGGAATACAAATCTCGGGTTGTATATTTACTTTTTAAAGAAACTGCCAAATGGTTTTCCACAGTATCATTTTGCATTCCACAGCAATGTATGAGTGATCCAGCTTTTCTGCACACTTGCCAGTATTTGAGTTTTCACTGTTTTATTTTAACCATCCTGGAAGGTACGTAACATCTCATTATGGTTTTAATTTTTAACTAACCTAGTGATTGTGATAGACTGAATAATGGACACTTAAAGATGTTTACGCCCTACTCTCTGAAGCTGTAAAGATGGTATGACATATAGCAATGGCCGAAGCTGAAGTGATGAGAGCTGAAGCAGTGCTCCTCGGTCCCATGCGCCCTTTGATAACGGCTTCCTCCTCCTTCCATGCCTTCCTTTACCACAAAACAAACAGAAAAAAAAACCCTCTAGAACATGTTTTAGAAACCAGAATAACGTTTCTGGGGTGAAGAACCCTCAGAGGGTGCATGCATGAAACCAAGGATATGGACCTGACTGCTGGGAAGCAGACTGGCCTTCCTCTCATGCTATCATAGCACTCGCCCTCTCCCCACTGCAAGCCACGCAGCGAAAGGCAAGGAAGGCCACGGCGAGTGGGGCACTGGGACAGCAGCCTGTGCTGAAGAGATGGACTGCGGAGGAACCTTGGGCAGTGACATTATGCTACACCAAAAATAACATAGGAATCAAGAAATGACTGTACAATTATAACAATAGTACATGTTAGAGAAGAACATAAACCTCCAGAGAATTAAAGGAGCTATAATTTCACCAAAGCACATTACTAGGTCAGGGAAGACCTGTCCCCACTTGGTATGTTATCCTTAGGCTTTAACGAATCAAAATCACACGCACGATGCAGGTACATCTAAAAGCCGACTAGTCATTGTTTTATCTGGTAAAACCATCTTTCATAATCAAATCTGTCATAGCTTTCAGTAGATATGATGCAACACCATGCCCAGAAGTCTTTTCGAGCTTTGAAACTAATCTTTTGTTTGAATCCTTCCTTTGGGCATAGTCTATTAAGCAGAGGTGAAAGAAGCTAAGAATGTGAGCAAAGTTCAGAGGCTATTGGCTTAAGAAAGACTATCTGCCTAAATAATCAAATAACATAAGAAAAATAATATGATTAACATAATGAATAGTGGACGGATAGTTTCAAGACCATTTAGAAATAAAAACACAGCACTAGGCTAAATGTTGGGTATACGTTAAAAGAAAATATCAGTAAGGATGAGTATATTCAAGTCGATCAAATAAATTATTTCTTTTATAATACTTTAAAAGAAACTTTCTAATACCTTAAAAACATTTTCAGTTGCAATTACAAGATTTATTTATGTAGAAAGCAAAATACTTCCTTATTGATTCAGTAAGCAGCTATCACTAATCTTGGGGCTATAAATATTCTTTTAATTTTCTAAAACTCAGAGTCCACCAATAAGTACACCTTATTTAAAAAATAAAAAATAAAACACAACATTTAAATATAAACATATACCCAAGGAAAGAAATATTAAAAACAATATCTCTATTATTTACTATTTTGAGTTAGTTTATGTTTGTCATAATTTATGAGAACTCAGAGAGTTAAAGTTTATAACTGGAAGTATCTTGAGAAACAATTTTAGAATGTTTTGAAACTACAATGAATTCTCCTTTTAGAACTCAACTTGGACATTTAAACACCACACATAATATGCAAGTTCCAACTCTGAAAAAAAAAAGGTAATTTCTATGGTCAAAGATTTACATTCATTAAGCAAAACAAGCTTTCTTCTTTACAATAATCAAAATTTTAAGCAAAATTTCAAAGTACTGTAGGCAACATCTCATGACAACAACTTAAAGAATAATTTATTTTGCATTCATATTTACAACCAAAATAAACCTGTTAGGCTTTAATTAATTTACATACCTGAACTGATGAATATTTGGAAAAATTTTCCATTTGATACTGCCTAAGAATTTCATTTAGTCTTTGATCTGAAACAAAAGGAAAAACCAATTTGTAGTTCACTGAAAATGTTCAATGTTTAAAAACTAGAAATAAAGTAGGCAGTATTTGATATAACCAATGCAAAACTGCTAGTCTCCAGTACTTCTCAAAATAAAATGAATCATCAATTTTAACTCACCACTTTAGAACTTAAGAATGGGGCCCCTCCCATATACCTAAACAAACTACTGCCAGTGGGGAAAAAGCACCTGCAAAGAACTAATTTTTCTGATCTCATAAATTTGAATTTTCTGTCTCTCTTAGCTTTCTTCAGATTAGCAGAAGTCAAAAAACATTCTTTACATTTATTTTTAAATTCCTGCCACTAGAAGTGAAAAGTTGGACAGATAGGCTGTAGCCATATTTTTTAGAATTGTTAAAATCTGCTGAAATTCTTTTCCAGGACAAACCTTCACTTTGAGGAGAAACTGTAGAACATAGAATCCAAACGAAGCAGTAGTGGGCAAGAGACAATGGAAAAGAAGGTCCAGAATCGAGCCAAGAGCTCTCAGTAAGTACAAGGTTAATACTTTTAAAGCAAGAATCATACAATAGAACACAGCATCCGATAAACATACAATACTCATTCTTTCAAGATCACATGTAACATTTAAAACTGCAATAGAGCAAGTGTCGAAAACTTACAAAAGACTGAAGCCAAAGAAAGCATGTTATCTGGCAATAGCACAATTAAACTAGAATCATGACCCAAAAAGTAAAGGAAAAAATCTCCATAAATTTTAAAGTTAAAAAATTACTTTTCAGTAGCCCATAGGTCTCAGGAGGAATTACAAAAAAATAAATAAATAAATAAAAGTATTGTGAACTGAATGATAGTGAAAATGTGATACCTCGAAACCTTAAAGAGAAATTTATAGCTTTAATTGCAAATACTAGAGGTCAATGAACTACACACCCACCCCAAAAAGTTAGAAAAAGAACAGCATATTAAACCCAGAGAGAGCCAGGTGAAAGAAATAATACAGATTAGCCACCACACCACAGAAATAAAAAAATAAGCACACACAAAAAAGAGGAGCAACAAATACAATCATCTCAAAAGCTACAGAAAAAGCATCTGATGAAATTCTAGATATATTCATGATAAAACTCTAGGAATGTAGGAACAGAAGGGCACTTCCTTCATATGATAATGGATTCCTACATAAACCCACAATAAACATCATACTTAAGAGTTGAAAACTTTCCCGTGAACTTGGGAATAGCAGAAGGATAAATTCTTTTGATATTTATTCATACTCTATTGGAGGTCCAAGTTAACATTACAAGGCAAGTAAAATAAAAGGTATAGACTTAAAAGGAAGAAAAAGCTGTCATTTATAGTTCCAAGAGTGTATATGGTAAATCCAAAGAGAACACACAAATTCTTAGATCAATAATTAAGTGTTGCAAGGTTGTTGGATACAAGTCAATATACAAAAATAATTATATTTCTATATACTGGCAACATAAAGTTAGAAAAAACAAAAGATCATTTACAGTATGATAAAAGTATCACTGTCTAGAAAGCAAGCAAAAGATATGTAAGAATCTTGCATAGAAAACTATGAAACATTCAGAGGAAGTATTAAAGACCTAAATAAGTGGAGAGACACTTATGGTTTACAGGATTCAGTATTGTCAAGATGTCAATTCTACACAAATTGATCTGTAGGTTCAATGCAATCCCAGTTAATACAAAGAGGATTTTGCAGAAATTTAAAAGTTGAGTTTTAAATATAAGTTGAAATGCAACGAGAATAGTTAGGACATTTTTGTGAAATAAGAACGGGGAGAAGACCTGTTCTACCAGATATCAAGATTTATTATAAAGCTGCAGTAATTTACGTAGTGTGATAGTCATACAAGAATAAACAAAATTGACCAATGGAAGAGAATTTAGAACCCAGAAATACACTCGTGTATATATGAGCACTTAAATTATGATCAAAGGGACATGCCAGAGCAGAGAGGAAGGATAACCTTTTTATAAGTGGTTCTAGGTCAACTAAATATTTTCATAGAAAAGAATAAAATTCATCCATAAAGATCAATTCTAGGTGAAATAAAGATCTAATTGTGAATGCCAAAACAATAAGCTCTATA